CCCCAAAACCCCAAAACCCCAAAACCCCAGAAGGTATCAAATTAAAAATATTTTAAAAAAATGTTTTTAAATAATCAAAATTCAATCTCGAATTAATTAGATTTCACTTCTCGATTAAATTTTAAATTATTATTTACATTTTCAACCTAAGAAGTCTTAATGCCAATTTATTCATTTTCATTAATTTTAGGGTATTAATCGAAGATTTTAGAAAGCTTTTTAATTAACCTCTAGTCCTATTTATCTATTTTCTCAGGTATTTTGATTTTTTTAAATAGTTTTTCAAGACTATGCATAGTTAATTTCTTCATCTTACTCTCTCTCATTTAGTTTCTTGTTTATCCAAGCTTTGCATTAATTATTTTTTAAGCTGATAATTAGATTTAATCATTCATTGCTCTATTTTCTTCTAACTTGTCAACATAAATTTTAGATAGGCATTTCTGTAGATTTAATTAATTATGTGAAAATATTTGCTCTTCAATTACTTAGAGTTTCCTTTGAAAATGAATGATTTTAGTGATTTCAAAATATCTATTTACATCTTTTTTTGCTTTTTTAAAGTTGTCACTTTCTTTTATGAAGCGATAATACTTCCTACAGCAGATAAGCTTGCTTTTTAATAGCGACGAAAATGTAAATCTAAGCTACTATAGATTTGAAAATTTTTCCTTTAATTGATCTAAATAACTTGGCAAGTTTTACTTGTCTCATTCTAGATAATCTTCAAAAGTAGTATCCGATTTAAGTGTGTTTATATGAGTTTGAGAAAAAAATGACTGGAATGTATTTTTCTAATAATTAGCTTTTTCATTGTGATATTCGCCATCTAAAATCTAATTAGAGCTTTAATTTAAAACTTGTTTATTCTAGCCAGAAGAATAATTACTGGTTTTTAAATCACTATCTATAAATAAGTACAATGCTCTGATTAATGCTTGATAAAACTAAAACTCTTAGATTTGTGACAGTAAAACCTTTGCTATAGCAAACAAAATAGTATAAAAACCACCAATTTCAGCAAGCATATCAAGAAGGGTTCTCACTTGTCTTGTAGTTGTAAATATTTTATCATTTAACATTAAATCAATATTAATTCCTGCATCTCCAGATTCTACATTCCTTTCATAAATCATATTGTAGTCTTTTTCAAGAGTAAAGTAAGTAATATTTCTATTATAAAACGAATGAAAATACCAAGAGTCAGCTAGGAAGGCATGATTCTAAACAACCTTTAATTAGTAATCTTGTATATATTACCGATTCAGCAAGAAATAATCATGCTTTAAGTGATTTTTGATAGGCTAGTCAAAATCAGATTCATCAAATGTTTACTAGAGATACATTAGATTGAAATTAATTTAATCTAGACTAGCTATAAATTCTTCATAGCTTTTACATTTTCTCTTAGTATTGTTACCGTACAATTACTTAAGCCATTCTGATTCGCATTATACTAGTTTAATATTGACAAGATTATGCGAGCTAGTTGCTTGCGATCCAAATATTTTGAATTAGAAATCATCTTCTGGACATGCAAAGTACTCAGTAATGAGAACTCCGTTTGCTTTCCCAGCTAATCCATTAAGCCTGTCTGGGGTGCATATTTTCATTGGTACGCTCTTGGAAGTAAAATCCAATTTTTGACCATCAAAAGTAGCAATAGTCTAATCAACCTATATTTTAAAATACTCAAACAATGCTATAGATTTTCCTTCTTCTTCAAACATTGGGACTAAAGATACTCCAAAATCAAAATTAGTTCTGTTAAGCATAATTTCTCGAGTATCAAATCCCATATTTCTTACAGATGTCAATCTATTTATTTGATAGCTATCTCTTTAATACATTGACAAAAGCTGAATGACTGAATAAGCTAAGAAACCAAACTTTAAAATAATTGATACTATTCCTCCAAATAGTGAATTAAAATTATGTTGATTTTTGTATCTCAAAGTAATTGGATGACCGAATGTATCTTGATTTTTAATGAAGCGCTTTAAATGTTATTTAAAATTTTTACCCATTTTATTTTATTGATTCATGAATATAATTTTACAAAATATTTATCTTTTTTCATGATGGGGTTTTGGGGTTTTGGGG